GGAGAACAACTTGGAAATGTTTATCACACAAATATTCTTTGCTCAGAGAAATCCATTTCTAAAGCATATACGCAAGCAAAATGACCCAGGTTTATTGCAGCCTTGCCTGTAACAGCAAAAGACTGAAAATAATGTATATGTTGTTAATAGCAGACTGGTTATATAATTATGGTATGCTACACAGCTATAAAAAAGAACAAGGAAGTTCTTTATGTATTGGAAGGGACTGATCTCCAAGATATATTGTTGGCCGAGAAAAGCAAAATACAGACCAGTGTAATATGTGTGCTCTAGTTTGTGTAAAAAAAAAAAACAAGGGGGGGAGGCAGCTGAAGGGAAAAAATACTTGTATATGTTTAGAATCTCTCTGAAAGGATAGCCAAGAAACCAGTAGCACTGGCTGCCTGGGAGCGTAACAGAGTAGCTGGGAGAGAAGAGGTCTTCCCAGAGTAAATCTTTTTTTTTTTTTTTTTCTAAATTCTTTAAAATTTTGAATCATGTGAATGCATGTTATCCAAAATACAAACACTTAAAATAGATATAAAAATCCGAGGGATGCTCTGAGCAGATGAGAGCTCTACAGTTTGTACAGCCTTGGCTTACTCGCTGCTCCTGTCCTAGGCTCCAGCTACAGAGCTGGGCGGCCTCTGCCGCCTGGTCTTCACTGCGCTCTGTCCCTGCCCGTGGCCTGTCCACTGCCCCCAAATCGGCCAGCGGCTCATACCCCCGGGCCGCATCTGCTTCCTCCACTCACCCTTCTAGCCCAACTGTAAGCTGGTTTTCACTACCACACCTCTCTGCCGTATCCCAGGGCATCTCAGATCTTCTCACTGCCAAGTTCAAGGGCTTTCCCGCAGCGGCATTCTCCTGGACCTCAACTCGTATTTGACACTTAAGGGGACCTTCTTTAAATTCGCTCCTTCCCTGTCTTCCCTCGTCTCACGGCGAGGTTTCCTTCTCACACTTCATCCTGCGCCCTAGCGTTGCACGTTCCCCAGTGCTCAAGCCTGTCCCTCTGTTCTTCTCTTTGCCCCACGTTCCCAGAGTGGGGGAGGGGTGTTTCGCACTCAAGGTTTCCAGGACCACCGTTAGGCTGAAGTCTCCCACATCATGCGCTACAAGCCATCCTCTCCTCCAAGCTCCAGTCCCATGAAGAAATGCAAACCGGGCATTTCCACCTGGCCGTCCCGCCCTGACCTGGATCATCATGTTCTGTGCTAGATTCCAACCACACACCCCACCTGACTGGCTGTGCTCTGAACTTCCGGGCAAAGGCCAGTGGCTCTGCAAATTCTGTCAGGCACCCAGCTTGACATGCTGCAAATCCTGGGAGTCATTCCTGCACTGGACAAATCCTCTGAGACCAAAGGGCTGATTACGGCTGAGACCCCGCTCCTCCGTCTCTCTCCAGCCTGCCTCAAGTCTCTGCAAGTTTTCCTTCCTCTACGTTTCTACTGATCCACCCAAGCTCTGGAATGCATCACAAGATGACTAAACAATTTCTGAATCATCCCATCATTTAGTCAACTGCCATTTAGTGAGGACACACGGTGTTTGAGGCATCATGCCAGGTGCTATGGGGATGCAAAGATGAACAGGGCACACAGCCAGTTCTGCTCCAAGTCAAAGCATGGAAGGTAACAAAAGAAGTGATAAATGAAGGGTGATGGAAATTCACATGAGGGAGGTATCACTTCCAGAGAGAGAGCTCTGAGAAGTTTCACTGGACCAGCGAGGATCACGTCAGGCTGCCCTGGGATCAGACAGGAGAGGGAAGTGAGAAGGGTGACCACCACCACTAGAAGGTGGTCACAGGGTGTTTAAGGCAGAAGAGAAGGCAGAATAGTTAGAGGGGGACTCAAGGTCTGGGAATATTTTTAAAGGGTTGAGGGAGAAAAGGCACCAAAGGGGCTTCCCTGGTGGTGCAGTGGTTGAGAGTCCGCCTGCCGATGCAGGGGATACGGGTTCGTGCCCCGGTCTGGGAAGATCCCACACGCCACGGAGCGGCTGGGCCCGTGAGCCATGGCTGCTGAGCCTGCGCGTCCGGAGCCTGTGCTCCGCAACGGGAGAGGCCATAACAGTGAGAGGCCCGCGTACTGCAAAAAAAAAAAAAAAAACAGGCACCAAAGAAGGAAAGGTCAAAATTATAGAACAGAAGGGGTGGCTGATGATTGATAGGATTCTTACCAGGCCAGGTTCTATAAGCTTAATGTTAATGCTAAGTTTTTACTCTTTTTTTTTTTTTTTTAAACTTCCAAGAACATGAGAATTAGAGTGAGTTACAGGGCCTTCGGATAAGGCAGCAGAGGCCCCAGAAAATGGTTGACAGAGGCCAGCCCTGGGGTGGAGGAGGCTGGGGGGATGGGGTACTTGGGAGACTTGCTTTTGACTATTTAATGTTTTGTATATACCTTTTGAGTTTTGTACTAGGTCTGTGTATTGACATTATTACAAAACTAAACTTTTTAAAAGCTATTTTTTTTGTTTTACACATATCTACATTCTTTTTTTATAGTCTTTTCCATTATGGTTTACCACAGGACATTGACTAGAGTTCCCTGTGCTATACAGTAGGACCTTGTTGTTTATCCATTCCATATATAATAGTTTACATCTGCTCATCCCACACTCCCAATCCATCCCTCCCTCACCACCCCTCCCCCTTGGCAACCACAAGTCTGTTCTCTATGTCTGTGAGTCTGTTTCTGTTCTGTAGATAGGTTCCTCTGTGCCATACTTTAGATTCCACATATAAGTGATATCACATGCTATTGGTCTTTCTCTTTCTGACTTACTTCATTAGTACGATAATCTCTAGTTGTATCCATGTTGCTGCAAATGGCATTATTTCATTCTTTTTTATGGCTGAGTAGTATTCCATTGTATATATGTACCACATCTTCTTTATCCATTCCTCTGTCAATGGACATTTAGGTTGTTTACTGTGAATAGTGCTATGAACATAGGGGTGCACGTATCTTTTTGCATTATATCAAAAAACTACTATTAAAGATGAGTTTCTGAAGGGAATGAGAAAAATTGGATTACGGTAGCTCGACAAGACCTCATGTGTTGCTTTGTTCTGAAGAAAGTAAAAACTAAAGCAGTTGGAAATATTGATGGGAAAGATCGAGTAGAAATGAGCCCAACAGTGCAGCTGGTCAAGGAGGTAATCAGGGAGGTGGTACAAGGTCTGAACAGGCAGCAAAGTCTGCAATTCAGAGTGTGGACATTTCAGTAAAGAAAGGCTATTGAGGCCATCAAGCCCTCAGCCACTGCAGCTGCCCCCGAGGTGCATCCTGAGGGGACTCAGGATGGCAGAGAGCAGGATACTGCTTCTTAGGCACCCTAGATAGCTAAGGTGCCTATCAAAGGAATGATTTCAATAAGCCTAGACTCTTGCATCTTCCCATACATAGAATAGGGATAAATTCATTAACTTGAGATGTCTGTTTTCCTTTAACAGTAATCTTTTGATGTTCCAATTGCCTGGGGGTTTTTTGGGGGGCAAAAAACCCTATATATCCTGGCTTGTCCCTTACCTCTTTGGAGCAGTCCCTCAGAGTTTCCTGAGAGGCTATATCCCGGGCTTAAGTCCTCCGTAAGTCAGCAGGATAAAACATAATTCGCAACTTTTAGGTGTGCGTGTTTTTCAGTCAATACGCTTTCACCAGAAATGTCTGGGACGGGATGCAATGGGTCCTTTCCCAGTGTCCACTCGCCTTTCTTCTTCCCAGATCCAGCCCTGGGGTAGAGGGGGAAGCTGCACCAGGTGGGACTGATTAGTGTAAGCCAGTTGGCAAAATCCTGGCTCCTCTAACACAGTAATTAGTCCAGGAATGGGCATGTGACCTGTTTCTGGCAAGCAAGACCCTAAGCAGGAGTTTGGTGGAGGCTTCAGGAAAGGAGGTTCCCACTTTTCTGGGAGAGCTGCAGGCAGCCATGTCTTTCTCCCGCTCAGAGTGAATGAGGAAGCATGTAGCCCCAATCCCTGCTGGCAGCCATCCTAGAACCCTGAGGGGCACTACCTCGAGGATGAAGCCAACACTTAGATGAGAGTAGAGAGATGCAAAGATCCTGGACATGCTTAATAAGATGGCTGAGCCACTGGATCAACCCGCCCTGAAGCCTGCCCTGCATCTGGACTTCCAGGATAAAAACCACATTAAACTGCGTTTTCCTGTACTCGCAGCCTAGAGCTCTGTCACTGACAAGCATCCCTTCCACTATAAAAAAGGAACAAGCCAAACAGGGAGTCAGAAATTGAGAGAGATGATGGCTGATGGTTCCAGTTTTTCTCCATAAAGTAAAAGGTGACCCAGGTACTAAGAGTGAGGAGGGAGCTGGGAAGAGTGAGGAAGACCAGACCTGGTTGTTTCGGGCAAAGGGCAAGAGAGCTGCCTGGGGCTACGGAGGGGGGCCCGGTGGGTGTGCTGAGCACCCAGATGAGGTTTGAAGACCTCTGCCAGCCGCAAACAGCATGAAGCTGTGCCACTCACCCAAGACCGCCATCCTGTGGGGACAGCCTCTGGGCTGGCCGTGGGGCATCAAGGGGACAAGCAGAAAAGGAGTTGGAGATGTGAGCACAATAGCAGTTGAAGAGATGGACCCCACGATCTACGGTGACCTGGAAGGGAGTGAGAGCAGGAGGGGCTGATTGGTTAGGAAAAAACAGAGGGACAAAGAGACTAGGCATCTCGCTGGATCGAGGAACAGGTTCAGTGGAAGTGAGGCGACAGGGAGACGATGCAGAGAAAGGTCCTTGTCAGCAGAGTTAAGTGTCCCCAGAATAACGCAAGGACACAGATAAGAACTCAGAGGGGCCTAATTCTTCCCATATCACTGGGAGCCATGTGTGGTGGCAGGAAGGAGGGGACGTGTTTTCAAGTTTGTGGTGATGTTTCTGAAAACTCTGGAGGAAAGAAGACACTCTGTGAAGGAGGAATGAGGGACACTGCAAAAAAAAAGCATCCTTAAACGGGTCCTTTTAGAGGACTCACCTCTGCGTTCATCTTGGTCCCTTTCTGCAGGAGCTGCGAAGACAAAAGCAGAGGTTCAGGACCTTGGTGGCACCTCCCCAAACTCCCTGCCGACACTCTCCCTGGCTACCCCCCTTCTCCCCCCACTTCCTGTCCCACTGGCCCCATCTTCCCCAAATGCCTTCACCACCTTGTGCCCTCCAGTGAGGGCACCCAGGCTGGTGTCTGATCTGACACCGGCAGGTGGTCGCTGGCCCCCCTGGGAACATCACACCAGTAATGTTTCTCTAAAGAACACTGCCAACCCCCAAGGGCCCCCTCTTACACTAGAAGGGATGCTTCTGTATACTTAAAAGAATGATGCAGGGCTTCCCTGGTGGCTCAGTGGTTAAGAATCCATCTGCCAACGCAGGACACAGGGGTTCGAGCCCTGGTCCGGGAAGATCCCACATGCCGGCGGAGCAACTAAGCCCGTGTGCCACAACTACTGAGCCTGTGCTCTAGAGCCCGCGAGCCACAACTACTGAGCCCGTGTGCCACAGCTACTGAAGCCCGAGCGCCTAGAGCCCGTGCTCCACAACAAGAGAAGCCACCGCAATGAGAAGCCTGTGCACCGCAAGGAAGAGGAGCTCCCGCTCGCCACAACTAGAGAAAACCTGCGTGCAGCAACGAAGACCCAACACAGCCAAACATAAATAAATAAACAAATTTATTCAAAAAGAGAAAAAAAGAAAGAGGCACGGGAAGAGCCATAGACAACGTGTAACAAATGGGTCTGGCCGTGTCCTAATAAAACTTAAAAAAAAAAGAAAAGAATGTTAGTGTTAAGTGTCCCTTACATGTGGGGTGGGGAAGTCAGATAACGAAATATGAGGCAGATGGTAACAGCTGTGAGACAACTTGTGTCAGCTGCTTTATCTACATGAACCCTAATCCTTGAAACCTTGGCAAAAAGGCTAATATTAACTCCATTTTACAGATGAGGGATCTGAAGTTCAGGGTGGGTTAAAGCACTTGGCCTTACAGTCACGGTGTTGTGGCCCTGTGCTGTAACTTCCAGCTTCCTGGCTATGGAGGCAAACCCAGACTGCCCCAGAGACCTTTCCAGGGCTGTCTTACACACACCCAGAGAGCTTTTATGACAAATAAAAGACCTGGGGTTTGGTCTGGCTTCAGTCATGGACCAAGCAAGTGACCACAGCCAAACAGGTTCTCCATGTGTAGGCTGAATGGCTGGACCTCATCTCTCAGGTCTCTTCCAGCTCTAAAATGCTCTCTGATTCCCAGAAAAGTTAAATCTGGTGACTCTTAAAACAGTGCTCAACCTCAGTTGTGAAATGACTTTACCTAGATGCCCTGTCACACTGACAGAGATCAAAACATTTGCCACATGTTGGTCAAATATCTCTGATTTTTTTTTTTTTGGCCTTGCCACACAGGTTAGTCCCCCAACCAGGGAATGAACCCAGGCCCCAGCAGTGAAAGCTCAGAGTCCTAACCACTGGACCACCAGGGAACTCCTACCTATTACTGGGGAACTATAGGTAGGTATCATCTCTACAGACGGCAGTTTAGCAACATCTATTAAAATTCCAAATGTGAGCAAGCAATTCCACTGCTTCCCATTTTTCTATTTTAATTAAAAATTTGTTTTTCAAGATTTAACCTTTTTATTGCAGTACAGTTAATTTATAATGCTGTGTTAGTTTCAGGTGTAAAGCAAAGTGATTTACTTATATACACACATATACATACATATTATATATATATTATACATATATGTGATATATATATATATGTATATATATATATAACAGCCAAGCCACAGAAGCAACCTAAACATTCATCAACAGATGAATGGATAAAGAAGATGTGGTACATATATATACGATGGAATATTACTCAGCCATAAAAAAGAAAGAAATAATGCCATTTGCAGCAACATGGATGGACCTAGAGATGATCATACTAAGTGGAGTAAGTCAGAGAGAGAGAGAGACAAATATCATAAGATATCACACTTATATGTGGAATCTAAAATATGATATAAATGAACTAATTTACAAAACAGAAATAGACTCACGGACACAGAAAACAAACTTATGGTCACCAAAGGGGAAATGGGTGGGGAGGGATAAATGAGGAGTTTGGGATCAACAGATACACACTCCTATATGTAAAATAGATAACCAAGGACCTCCTGTAGAACACAGGGAACTCTTGATATATTCAGTATCTTGTAACAACCACTGCTATCCAATTCTGTCTCCAGTCCCCACAGGAGAAATCACTAAATTGCCCTGAGTCCTTTGTTCTTGTAGAAATATTACTGTTGCTTGCCTTCCCTTTCTAATAACAACGTCCAGAAAAGGTTTCCTGTAAAAAGTCAATAAAACATGACTTATGAACTTTACTACCTTTCCCACAGAATCTGGGGAAAGCAAAACAAAACCAAACCAATTTGCAGAGATGCACATGGATGAGAAAGGACCCCACCTAGAAACCTTACCACCTTAGGCACCAGCGGTCAATTACCAAGGGTGAATTGCATTAGTACTTATAAAGCACGTTCAACAGAGGTATCCTGGCCAGGATTCTTTCCATACTCCTTCTCCAGCTTTCAACTTCCCTTGTAATAAGATGGCACTGTTGGGGTAGGCAGCAACCCCAGGCCACCTTTCAGCACCCTTCCTGCCCATCACACGTCTCTCCCTTCCTCCCCACTGTCCTGCCAAGACCCGTTAAAGTCTGAACAGAACCCAGGGAGAACTGTATTCTACATTTAATACATTCTAAAAGATCTAAGACCAGGGCTTCCCTGGTGGCACAGTGGTTGAGAGTCCACCTGCCGATGCAGGGGACATGGGTTCGTGCCCCGGTCTGGGAAGATCCCACATGCCACGGAGCAGCTGGGCCCGTGAGTCGTGGCCGCTGAGCCTGCACGTCTGGAGCCTGTGCTCCGCAACGGGAGAGGCCACAACAGTGAGAGGCCCATGTACAGCGAAAAAAAAAAAAAAAAGAAAAGAAAAAGAAAAAGAAAATAAAAGATCTGAGACCTAACCCTATAACAAGAAGATTTACTTTTTCCCCCTGTACTCTAGTGTATTTTATTTTTATTTATTTATTTTTATTGGCGTAGAGTTGATTTACAATATTGTATTTGTTTCAGGTGTACAGCAAAGTGGTTCAGTTATACACATACAAATATTCATTCTCTTTTCGATTCTTTACCCATATAGGTTATTACAGAATACTGAGTGGAGTTCCCTGTGCTGTACAGTAGGCTCTTGTTGGTTACCTATTTTATATACAGTAGTGTGTGTATGTTAATCCCAAACTCCTAACTTATCCCTCCCCCCCCATTTCCCCTTTGGTAACCATTAAGTTTGTCCTAGAAATTTGTGAGTCTGTTTCTGTTTTATAAATAAGTTCATTTGTATCATTTTAAAACTAGCTTTCACATATGAGTGATACCATATAATATTTGTCTTTCTCTGTCTGACTAACTTCACTTCGTATGATAATCTCTAGGTCCATCCATGTTGCTGCAAATGGCATTATTTTGTTCTTTTTAATGGCTGAGTAATATTACATTGTATATATGTACCACATCTTCTTTATCCATTCCTCCATTGGCAGACATTTAGGCTGCTTCTATGTCTTGGCTATTGTAAATAGTGCTGCAATAAACATTGGGGTGCAAGAAGATTTACTTTGGTTTGTTTTTTATTTCAAGGGTTTAATATTTTTAACAATATTGAAAATATTTTTAATAATATTTAAAAGCCTAAAAGGCTTTAAGTTTCTGACTTTTAGTATTATGTTTAGAAAGACTTATATATACATTTTAATTTTCACTTAGATTTTTAACTTTTTTCCCCTTTATTTATATGTTTAGTTTTAATCAATCTAAATTATATTTTGGTATATGGCATGAGATAAGACTCTCCTGTAATCTTCCCAAATAGTTGAGTTGTTCACACATCATTTACTGACTCTTTCATTCTTTCCCCCAATGGCTCATACTTAAATTCTTATGCATGTGGTTATTCTTTCTTTCACTTTCTGGGCTGTGCCACTGACCCGGCTTCCTGTGCCTATAATACGTTGTTTACCTGACTGTAGCTTTACAATATGTTTTGCTACCTGGTAGTTCAAGTTCTCTCACTAACTTGTTCAGTATTCTTATCTAGTCTTGCTTGCTCAGACTTCTAGATGAAGTTTAGAACAGCTCTGACAAGTTTAAAAAAAAAAAAAAATTCCACAGGAACTGTGCCTATGATTGCATCAAATTTGTAAATTAAATTAGGATTCAGCCTTCCCACCCAGAAATATATGGTATGCCTCTCTAGGGGAAGCCACTTAAAGAAAAAAGAAGAATCTCAAGTCAGTTCCTGAATTACTGCATAATTACAAACAACAGCTCAGGCTGCGGTGGTTCACTAGAAAGTTAAAGGAAAAAAGTCAACACTTTTGCATAAATAACCTGCTTAAAGCGTTTTCAAATAGGTTTCTCCTTCCCCCGTATCTCCTGCAGCAGACAAGCTACCCTCTGGGAGATGGACCTAGAGATTATCATACTAAGTGAAGTAAGTTCAAAAGAGAAAGACAAATACCATATGACATCACTTATATGTGGAATCTAAAGTGTGACACAAATGAACTTATCTACGAAATAGAAACAGACTCACAGACATAGAGAACAGACTCACAGACATAGAGAACAGACTCGTGGTTGCCAAGGGGAAGAGGGTGTAGGGGAGGGATGGATTGGGAGTTTGGGGTTAGCAGATACAAACTAGTATATATGGAATGGGTAAACAACACAGTGCTACTGTACAGGGAACTATATTCGATATCCTGTGATAAACCATGATGGAAAAGAATATGAAAAAGAATGTGCATACATGTATAACTAAACCACTTTGCTGTTCAGTTGAAATTAACACAACATTGTAAATCAACTATATGTCAATAAAATAAATTTTTTTTTTTTTTTTTTTTTGCGGTACGCGGGCCTCTCTCTGCTGTGGCCTCTCTCCACATGCGCA